AGAAGCCGACGAAAAATTCTAAGTCCCAGAAAGTCGATTTTTTAAGAAATTTTTTTTTTTTTTTTTCGAGATAACACCAAATCTCGACGTTTCATGCATTTTTAAGACATTTGGCATCAACAAATTTTGCTGCTATTACTGACCACCACGCCGCCCGAAGCGAAAATGAGCTGATACCATACAGCAGCGCTGTTTTATATCTTTTCAGTGGTACTCTATTATGACGACTGGAGTTGGGAAGAACATTTAACAGTGATAAAATTATCACTTTTTATTTGTACATTGGACAATGTTTGACATTACCACTTTTTCAATAGCATCTCGTTAAAAATCATCAGTCCGAAGCATTGCTATAGATGCGTAGGAATATTTCTGATCGATCGGTAATAAAATTATTGAACTTGGTCTGCTCCTAGTCTGAGTTATTAACGTTCAAAATCTTTCATAATTTTGTTTCATGTTCCATTTTCGGTTTTCACAAAGTGTACCTCCAGTATAGAAATGAAAGACGTAGTCCGACGTCAAAAATTCGTAGGAAAGGTTCACGGTATTTCCTAATGTTTGGAGAAGAGGAGATCTTGGACGAATTGAAAGAACTTGGTGAAACATCACACCTGGACCCTACCTATCGACCCATGGACTCATGGACCAAGAACCAACGGCTATACTTCCCTTCCGAAGGTAGGTGTGATCAGAGATTTTTTGCTTCAGAAAATTCCGACTGCGATTGAACCACTACATCACCGCCGCCGCTGGAGAAATATTTTGGAACTTGAAAGCAGATGATGAAACTTCGTAGAGTGAAATTTTTCAAGAAGTCAAGATTGGGGAATGGTAGATGTTCATGGAACATTAGAGCCGTTCCATGCCAAAAAGCGAAAAAATAAACAAATTTTTGATTTTATTTCACAGAATTCCATGACATGTTTCATAATTGTTCTCTAGGGGCAGTGAGTCAAGTTTGTGCTGGAATTCGGCAATTTTGACTCGCGTCTATTTTTTCCAAATGGCGTATTTGATATTTTTAATAAATCATTGCACGAAAACGGCTTTGCGTTTTCTGAAAAAAAAATACACACTGAAAAAAATCGCATATTTTCATCCAAAAAATAAAAAGATACTGTTAAGAATTTCACTAGCAATAATAGTACAATTGCGGCGCCGGTGGTGTAGTGGTAAGCGTGATTACCTTTCACCCCAGCAGGCCTGGGTTCAATCCCAGTCGGCGCCGCCGGAATGTTCTGAGGCATAACATCTCTGATCACACCTTCCTTCGGAAGGGAAGTAAAGCCGTTGGTCCCCGGTTCATGAGTTGATGGGTCGATAGGTAGGGTCCAGGTGTGGGAGCTGCCTTCTTGGCGTCGGTAGCATTGGTGCTCAGCACGGAAAACAAGATCGACGGAAAACAAATCAAGGAAAAAATAATAACAGTACATTTTTAAGTTTTGTCAACTTATGTCTGTCCATTGTGTCCATTTCAGAAAAGATATAATTTTCGAAGGCTTTCAACCACAAATAACAGACGTAACACTCGCAAGTTGTTCACCGAACAAGCATTTACGGTCAATTTAAAAGTATCGTAGTTGGTAGTACCGCCACCTGTGGCGTGCATTTTTTTTTTTTTTTTTTTTTCCTCTGTTCGGGACATAACACCACTGCGACCAGTAATTTGATCTATTGTAGTATATCCCGTGTCCTTAGTTTAGTGCATGTCGTATTACTCCATCACTATTGAGAAATGATGAAGTATTCGGTTTTGATACAGTTGTCATTCTTGCCTTCATCGCAAGGAATCGATTCTAACTGAAAGGTTCCGCTATTTATACCCTTCGGAGTTGGAACACCCTCCAAAGGCGCGCCCCTTTGGCAGTCAAAATTGGATTCCTTAACAACAAAAACAAGCTATGACACCGATAATGACCATGCATCAGAACCCTAGTCTTAACCACTTCAAACTAGGGAACAACGATTAGAAGATTAGGAATCACATAGGTGAAGACTAACTAACTCATTTTTTCCTTGTTTCAAGATCATCCTCGGTCCAGGCAACCCGAGGACTTATCACTATCAACAAGGCATAAAAAGTAACAAGGACTAAGATGTGTTCCTTTGATTACTGAAAAATCCTGTTCCCCTAGTTTGAAGAAGTTGGGACTAGGAATCGGTGGTAGATCTTACATCCCGTAACGTACCACGAAAAGGTGATCTACCCACGTTACGGGGCAAATGGCGTGCATAGTCAATTCTCTTGCGTTTGATGTTTAAAAACTACCGCCATCTGCATTGACGTAGCTACTGGGGGTTCCAAGGGGGCTAGGCCCCCTCTATAATTATCTAGCCCCCCCCCCCTCCAGAACTTTTGGTGTATTTTTTTTATTCACCGGTATATTTTCAAACTTGTTGAGTTCGATGTTACTAATCTTTTTTAAAGTACATGGCATAATAAGACGTCTACAGGCTCTAAAAATTGGTAATGAGCCCAGGGATTTTTCTTTAACTTCTGGGAACTTCGTAAAACTTCAATGACTTCTAAGAAATTCAGAGAACATCGTAGAAATTGAGGTAACGTAGTAGAAATTCTGAGAACTTCATATATCTTCGGAAAAAATCGTTAAAGCATGGAACTTGGAAAATTTCTCAAGACCAGGGATGGAAAATCATTTACATTCATTTACCTCTAACTTTTTTCATCAACAGAATTCCGTAACATAGTGTTTGAAGCTTTTGCAGGTTTTAATATTATCTACATCTTTTGTAAACAATTCAAATCTGTATCTCTTATGCATGATGAATCAGAGCGATAAGAACCCACCATTGTTTTTCAGTAAATGTAAATTGCATTCACTGAAAAACAATAACATGTTCTGCCAGCTCTATTTCATCATGCAAAAGAGATTCAGATTTTAGTTATAAACAAAAGTTGAAGTTAACATCTATAGCTACAAAAGCTTTATACATCATTTAACAGTATTCTGTTCATGAAAAAAGTTAAAGGCAAATGAATGTAAATGATTTTCCATCCCTGCTCAAGACTGCGTAGAAGTGGAAAATTAATTTAAGTTTGAGGAGCACTATTGAAGTTAGGGGGACACTATTCTATTTCAGGGAGACTCAGTATTGATCGGGAACCTCTATATAATTGCAGGTCACTTTTTTGAAGCCCCATGGTCTTGGAATAGTTGTGGAAATTACGTACAAATTCAAGAAATTTCGTTTGTGGAACTTCGCGGAAAATTATCGAGATACGTAGAAGTACAGCAAACTTCGAGAAGTTTTTAGAATGTCGTAGCATTTTTAAGAAGCTACGTAAAACTTCATATAACTGTAAATAATTTTGTAAAAGTTCAGGGAATCTTGTAGAAGATCTAAAGATAGTGTAATAAACTTTAAGGTCCTCGCTTCAGTATAGGAAACTTCGTTGCATTTTGTCAGAGATATTAATTCGAAAAAATCTATTGAGAACTTCGTAAACTTTCAAGGAACTTTCCAGATGTTTAAGAATATTTGTAGATGATAGGTACCTTTGCATAAGTGCAAAAGGAACTTTGTAGAAGTTGAGGAAATTTAGTAAAACTTAAGGGAGTTTTGTAGATGTTCACGAAACGTTTTATAAGTTACAGGATACTATTTCAGACATCCTTCCTAGACAGCAGGAAATATTCAAAAGATCTCCATAGACACACATATATTAGTAAAGTTCACTGGATATATTTCCAAGACTTCCAGTTGATCAAGTTCTTATGATCTCCAATTGTTTAAAAATGCAATGTTCTTTGAAGACTATAATTGTTCAGGAAAAACCTTAATCCGGGGTAAAATTGATCATAATGCGTTGCACTTTTAACATAACATGCTCGGTGATAGATATATAGAGAAACCTTGAAAATATATCATCATGAGACTCCAATGATTGCCTCGATGTGTTTTTCCTAACAAATTAAAAATTATTGCATAAATTTCAATTTTATAGAACTGACGCTACTTAACGTACAATATATATGCAATATCAACAGCCAAACAAACGATCATAGGACTGCAATGATTGATTTCATTACCATTCAAGTATCATATTTTACTAAACACTTAAATGAATCCGAATTATTTAATAAATTTCGGTAGAATGTTTCAAATATCAAAAAATCCAGGGTTTTTCGCAAAATTACCAGTGATTTTGATTAAATTGCCTACATTTTTTTGGCGTTTCTGCTGAAAACACTTTTCACACAAGAGTTAAAGCATCTGAATCGGAATCAGGGCATTTAATAAGAAAAAAATACTAGAAATGCACTGGGAAGCCATTTGAGGTCACATCCAATATTATAAGAAATCTTAATTGTATTGGAGCTACCATAGCTGCTGATTAAAAAACCATTAGTTTTTCAACTTAGTTTGTATTGTATTGCATAAATTTATTATGATCAATTTATCCCCGGATTACGATATTCAAAAAATTTCCAACTAATTGAATATGATGGAATCTTGAATGATGAATCTAGATTTTATGGACGTGTTTGTACATTCTCTATAGGGAAGACCCGTGCCTTGGTGTTTTAGTTTTTATTTAACCGTAGTTTAGCAGAATTAAAAAAATCGACAGGCCCCCCCCTATGCTCCCTCGAGATAATTTTTTCTAGCTACACCAATGGTCTTCTATTTACCGCACTGCCCACCACAGTGATTAGATATTATCTGAAATAAATATCTAATGGACACTTTAAAATTGACCAAAATCATTGAACATAAACTGTGAGAAAAAAATTCTGAATTATTTTTTCACGCAATATTTATATGATTTGTGCATAGGCAACGATTTTCCATACTAAAAAACATGTTTTCTGCATTAAAAACCATTAAAAATTATTTGTACAAAAGTGCATTCGAGACATTAACTCAGGAGAAAGCCAAAGATGGCAAAAAATGTCTGTCCTAGAAACTAATTTTGCACAGTGCAATTATGAATCAGTTTTCCTAACTAAAGGAAAGCACCAAACATTACTCACATTTTGAAAGCCACTGGCAGCACTCATCGCGACTCCGTCGGGAACCATAGCTAACCCACGAAGGTCCCGGAGAAAGCGCACCTGATCCTTTCTTCAGAAGCGGTTCGTTCTCACCACGATAATCCGGATCGTGGTTGGACTGGATCATTTTAACTCTTCTGCGTTCTGCACTCAATTCACATTCACTCTAAACACTTTGTACACCGATATACATCTCCTACAATTCCACTCACAATAAAAAGCAGCACTTTCTTCCGCAATTGCTTTTATATAGATATTACCTTCTACGTAGATTGTCGTCGTCGTCGTTGGATGAAGGTAATATGCACTGCTTAGCGAGATCACTGATAGCATGATAATTATTTTTAGAAGTTTCACTTGTTAAGAGTTACATTGTCAGTTGTAGGATTCATTTGCGACGAACTGGAACCATAGATCCGTAATCACTTTAACCGGGTTTTGCATCGCTTTCCAGTCGCTAGTTCAGAGAGTCATATTTCGCATCGAAGGAAAAGTACCACGGCCGACGCACTGTGTTTAAACTATTGCGTTGAACTGGACCAGGATGGAAGCGATCTTTTGTTCTCCTGCCTATAGAAAGGAGGACAGTAGCCCGATTAAAATTTTGGGGTGCTATTGAAAGTGCTGCCAGTGCTTGATAACGTTTCCATTCGGGTTCCAACGCATATTTACTAATCTGATAATCACTTCCGCCAAAGTTTTGTTTGTTATTTTGCACAGAATCCCAACGGTTATCACCACAGTGTTAAGTAGGTCTTAAATGTGTCATCCACCTCGTCACAGCGAGGGAAACGCCAACGTAATTGTTATTGTGAAGATCGACCTGTAACCTTCGGTGGTACATTTACATACACTTTGTCGGTTGATGATACACTTCTACAGCAGTAACATGCACGCATTGTTTACCTCACACTGATAATACAGTGACATCGACGAAGATGATGATGGGATGAAAGTGAGTTATCACCTTTCCTCACATTGGGACTACCTACCGTGTTTCAGAAGTAGCGGTTATTATTGTTGACTTGATGGATTAAAGATTTTCGGAATTAATTTTTGATCTTCAGGGTCGTCCTAAGATAAGGATATTCAAAATGGTCAGCCTTAAACTGTTCATTTTCTGTTCTTTTGAATTCCTCCTATTATAATCAACAAGCACTGCAACAAAGTCTAGTCGTAGTCGTAGAATCTCGAACAATTTCAAATCTCAGATCATTTTATTCCACACAGGAATTGAGATTCCCTGCTCTTGGGTAAAGTGAGGCTAAGGGCGCATTCTGCTAGATTGATCGAGGCAGATTTAACGTGTGAGTAAGTGATGACACTGGACATTGTTATGTGCAATTCACTTTAAAATGTGCTTTTCTTATTTCACCACATGTAGTTTTATTGAGCCTTGATAAAATGTGGTGCTTGCGAAGATCACTTGAAGATACGATATGGCGGAACATTCCCAAGTAACAAAATTAATTGTATGGTACACTTGAAGAAGTTTTCAAGACAAGTTCTATAAAACTGAACATAAAACTAATTATTTTACAAAGCTACTCTAAAACAGCCATAAAACCTTCATAAAACGAAGGAGGCCCATACTGAAACAGGTTCTCAAGACTAGTTTTTAAGTTTCGCTTAAAACCTGACAATCCTATCGAAACATGCTTATAATGGCATTCAAGACCTCTTTATAACTCTGATAAAACTACGACAAGTTGCCATAGTTTTGTGTTTTTCTCCTCAAGAGTGCTTCCAGTACCTGATAAGTCTGTTTCACAGGTTCCAGTTTTTGCAACTAAGTCTGTTTCACAGGTTCCAGATAGACATCTTGTTTCTGGATGGAAGAATCTGTTCGAGTTATAAATTTTTCGATTATATGGTGTTCCTTTACTGCCGGTAATCGCAAGTCAGTCCAATCTGCATTTTTATCAATTTTGAGTTAGCATCATTATTCAGTTTATCTTTCTATGTTTTTTTGAGATGCGCTATTGAAAAAAGGTGGTTTGTCCATGTAAAATGAAAAACAATACTAAGCCAAATTGTCCCACAGTGAAAAGTAACCGCAAGTCAGTCCCATTAGAAAAAACATATGTTAGAAATGTGAGACAACACATCGCATCATGAGATTTGTCTCAAGACAGATTTTTTCCACTTTTCCTAGGGTATCTGGAACATGTCCGGATATGGACAATATAAGGCCTGTACTCGAAAAAAATGCACCAGACAAAAGTTTTCGCCAAAAATTTATTTTAAGTCAGATTTTCTTGAAACTTTCAGGAAATGAACTAATACATATGGATAATGTTGCAGCACAATTACTTTATTCAATTTCCTTACCATCGCTGAAAGTCCGCATCTTTCCCTTAAGACCCCTCATTACATTTTGTGCAATGGTGGAGCCGACCTTTTTGGTCACTTTCATCCATTCTTTCTTCAACTCCAGCTCGTTCTTAAACACCTTGGACGATTTTCGAACTTTGGCCTTCATTATGGCCCAAAATCTTTCCACCGGACGAATCTCTGGTGAATTTGGGAGGTTGGCGGTTTTTGATACAAAAACAACGTTATTGTCTCTGTACCAATCCAACGTCGATCGCGCGTAATGGCATGATGCCAGGTCCGACCAAAATAATGTCTCGTCTCCGTGGGACCGCAGGAAGGGCAACAGACGCTTCTGGAGGCACTCGGTGCTGTAAATTTCGCTGTTGATGGTACCCATTGTGATGTACGGTTTACTCAGTTTACCGCATTGGCATATGGCCTGCCAGAGCAAGTATTTTTTTGGCGAATTTGTCCACTTTCTTCTTCCTTATGTCTTCCGGAACATCAAACCGTGATTTGGCAACGTAGAACTCCAGCCCCGGTATCTGCTTTGCGTCTGCCTTGATGTATAACCATGATCCATAACCACACACATCGGTTTCGTTAACCACTCTCGATACTGCTTCCTTGCGCGGGATTTGGCCGCCGTGTTTTGTTGATCACGCCGGTTCGGTGCCTTCCGGACCTTGAATACACGAAGCCCAGCTCGTTTCATGGTTTGCTGAACGAACCAGGCGGAACACTTTGCCTTCAGAGCCGCGTCGCGAACCGAAAGGTTCGGATTACGCTTGAAATAACCAACACCTTCCGGGCCTTCACAGGGTCAGCTGTCTTCGATTTTCTTCCACTTCCAGCCCGCTGCTCGGTCGTTTGAGACTCCTTAAACGATTTTACCACCCGAGACACAGTTGTATGGGTGATTCCCAGTTGTCTTCCGATCCATCTCATGGTCGCAGTCGGATTTTCCATGACGGCGCGCAAAATTCTCCGGCGATTGCCTTCTTATTTCGATGACATCTCAATAGCCACTGAACCGATTGTTATGAAATTTTGCACATGTAAACAATTCACTCCAAACGGATAAAAATGGTGCATTTTTTCGAGTACAAGCCTTAGTTCTTACGATTCTCAGTTTGACAGTTTCTTATGTGATTTGATGTGTCGCTTGATGAATTTTGATTAAAAAAAGAATTAACCACCTCCCCGGGGATACACGTATGTCCGGGTGTGGCCAACATGGTGTTGGTCACTCATAATTAATCTTATTGATCTTATTTTTGTATTCTCATGTGCATTGATTTATCGCATGGTGGGTTTGACACGTTTACGAAAAGCTTTGGTCTGATGAAGACCCATACTCACCAGAATATGTTCCGGCCATTGCTCTGGAACCAGCGGAACAAATCCAGAAACTTTCAATGACGTTCTATGGGGACATGGTATCTTTCTACTTTTCAATATTGTGCTAAACTATTGCAGCATCGTCATGGAATTGTGACTGACTTGCGGTCTTATTTGTGTTAAATGTAATCGCAAGTCAGTCCCACTCAGTATTTGCCATTTCATAAAAATTTCACGATATTTTTCCAATATTTTTTGGTAAACATAGATGCATTGTACGCTTATTTTTAAATTTATCACTCCAAAATAAGTGTCAAATCAGAAAACTTGTTAAATCTTTGAACGCCGTTTTCTCATTTCCAGTTTTTTACAGATGGGACTGACTTGCGATTATGGTAAATTCCCTATAGCAATATGAATAAAAATGTAAGTTGCAGTAGGCTAGAAAAAGCTCGTCATCGAGTTTGTCATTTGACAGCTGTTTATTTATGGTCGACCAACACTCCACATATTCTCCGTTTTTTGTTTGTTGTCCTTATTGATTTTTTTTCTCCTTGATTTGTTTTCCGTCGATCTTGTTTTCCGTGCTGAGCACCAATGCTACCGACGCCAGAACATCCCGGCGGCGTTGACTGGGATTGAACCCAGGCCTGCTGGGGTGCGAGGTAATCATAATAATGACCTTATTGATGTCGCGTAAGTAAATTGCATTTATGTGTATTATTCGATGACTTTTTAAAAGATTGAGCCATTTTCAGGATGCCATTCAAAATTATTCAAACGATCGAAGCCGGGAAATTAGCCTTAGTGCTGTACCTAGTGGCTGGGAAGCCAATATGATCTTGCGGTGGCCGAAAAATCACCTGGTAGGAAAATTGTCCCAGATCGAAACATCCACTGCAGATGATAAATGGGAAAAGATGAACTGTGACAGGAAAAGGGAATTTAAGACACGTAAGGAAGCTGATGATGAACTTGATCGGATGGAAACACTACATGATACCGAAGTGGAAGATATTCCGGTGGCACCTCCAAAGAAGCGTGTGCGTCGTGAGCCCTCAAGGAAAGTATTTGCAGCGAAAGACTTTAACAACTTCTTGGACACTCAAGAATGTAGAGTCCACTCGAATAATAAAGTAACGTTTGCTGCGTGAGATTAAGTTGTGGATAATATTGAGATTCTGAAAAAGTGTCACGGACTGGGAATGGACTCTACAAAGAAGAATTTGAAGCGGAAAGCAATCCTGTCAACAATGCATGTGTGAGTATTTCAATCTAGTAGTTTCTTTTATTGAGAATTGAGAAACATTCGTAATTTCAATCGTAGATTACAGCTCCTGTGAATGATCAACAACTGCTCTATATCAAGGACAACATTCACACGGAGGGAATAGCAGAACAAGATGAATCATCCCAAATCTTCTTGTTAACTGGTTACGATGGAATTAACAATGGAAACTTGGCAACTGTACTGGTAAATAAACGTACTTTTCTGGAAAATCAGTCCAAAATCATGCAAGCCCTAGCGAAGATTCAAACCGGACAGGAATACGCTATGACTCATTGCCATTACAGTGCGTCCCAAAATGATGCTATTTTGGCTAAACGTCATGTTCAGCATGTATTGTCTCCAGCCGATTCGGTGGACGAACTGGAAGCTTTGGGAAGGTCTTTGGAAGATGAAACACGGATGCAGCAATTTTCAAATGGAATGAGTTACATATGCGGCGTCACTGGCATAGCTCAAGGAACGGATGGTTGTTACAAATTATTTGATTACTTTTTCACCCGAAAGTTCCTCACTCAATGCTCATGGACAGGAATGATGCAACAGGCTGATGGAAATTCACAGCAAGAGCCGTCAACCTGTGGAGATGCTACGGCAAAGTTACCATTGAAATTCTTCAAAAACACACGTGCGTGTTTCTGAATTTGATTGTACAAGCTGACAAGCATCTTTCGGAGCTTGATTGCGACAAATTCTTCAAAACGATCCTTAAGAACAGTAAGCAGCGACTTTCTTCAAAGTTCCTGACGTCGCAGTATATGAACAGGCCTACAAAAATGAAGTACAACAAATCCGGGGCTGGTTCTGGACCAACGCATGCGTCTGAGATTAATCAGTCAAACAATATTCCTAATGCGAATACCACAGAGTCACATGAACCACATTTAGTGGACTACCCGAAACTAAGATATTCCCATTTTGTTGAGAAGCGTGATCGAAACAAACTACCTGATTATTTTTAGTAAGAAACCACTTATTGGCCGCATTGTTATCTAATGAATATGTTTCGAATTCAACTTTAGCAAACTTATCATCAGACTCAGGAGTACGAATTCGTTTTTTCAACGTAGGAGTTGCATGGTTTGCAATATTCTTCAAGCTGATTTAGTTCGCTTATTCGCTTTGCCGCCTGAGCTAGGGTTTTATATCCACTTAGAATTTTTAATCTAATATAGTTTACTCTCGAAAGGGTACGCACTAAAACTTGGCAGGATACAGAAACGATTTACATCTTCTATAAGATGACTGAGATTATGAACGTTACTTGTGATGTAATCTTCCCCAATGTAATGTTGAAGCAACGATTCTGCTAGGTCAATAAGATGAGAATGAGAATCAGTTGAGCAAATAGTTATGGCACAAAAAAAACCAAAACAATGTTCGTATACGTCTTCGGGTAAAAAAGGTTTCAAAACTACTATGTTTAGAGATGAACTAGCCTAAGGCTAAAAATCTCTTTAATAATGAATTAAAAAAAAAAAAAAAAATCAAAACTTCTATACCTATATAATACAAATATGTACGAAACTCTGTACCCTTCCAATGATTTAAACAGTCGAGGGCTCTCATGCTGCTATGTATCTCAGATGGTAGCTTTAGTTGCCGTTTTCGGTTCTAGTGGTTTCATGGTTCCAAAAAACATTGTTTTGTGGCGGGTGAGTGGAAGCAGCCCTGCTCTTCGAAACTAATCAAGAGAAGGCTTCTTCATTTTTTAAATGAATAATTTGGGAAGGAAAGTTAATCTTGCTGAGATTCTATATTAACATCTCGGTTCAATGGATCCTTTAGTAGGTAGTATTTTAGTAGTACTGAGTTGTTTTTTATTCTATTTCATCAAGTGCATTATAAACTTTTTGCAGCTGTCGGGACTAAACGCGACCTACAGAGCTTTAGTAATGCGCAATTAGATAGGGGAATTTACGTATTCTCGGCAACCTAAGCAGCGGCCTTCTTTCTATAGCCTTTTTCTCTAAGGAACGCACACATATGCAGTATTGGTTTGTTTACAATCTTTTGCTGCCAGCTGCTCTAACAATTTCAGTCGAAAGAATTGTCAAAAACTGTTTTGAAACGATTTTACAAAGCTCCAATCTTCTCTAGTGAGAGCGAGTATTGTCGGCAACATCTTTTTCTTCGGCAACCGTTCCATTTGAACTGCATGTAAATCTGCTGTTCTATTATCGGCAACTCGAAATCAGCTACAATTTGTATTGCGTGTGTTTCATTTCATGAAAACCTTGCTGGATTGCTTTTTCTCAGTGGTAAAAATATAGTCAAATTGAAGCTGAAAGCATAAAGAATGGTTTGCATGCATTCAGCGAAGTGTTTTCGTAAGAAAATCAAGTGAAAATAGTGTTTCAATTTGAGTTGCCGAAAATAGTCTGGCATGCCGAAGCCGTCATTTCCCCTAGAGCTTACCAAACGCGTTCTGGGCTTATGAAGTTTTTGAAATTTAGTCGGTACGGACGCGAAATCTTAGGATCTCCATAGTAGTAGAATATTTATGTTGATGGCACTCTGCTAATTAGCTGTTTTTTTTTTGTTTCGCGCGGCGTTCGGAACTCGCTCGATTTACGGAATTCACTTAGTTTAGATATTATATACTTAAACAGATTTACTGATTCAATCGTGTATTGATATTATCTTACAGCAGACGCTCCGGACAGCAATCTACATTTGCCAGGAACACTGACTGGGTATATCCTATTTTTATGAATATCGGCGGGAAATTCTGTGAGGGGTGAGCTATTTTGTGTGCAGAATGTGTAAAAAGGAGGGACTTCAAATATTAAAGGGTGATACGGTCAAAATTTGGTCAAGGGAAAACGCGTGTAAATCGGTGAAATCGTTTATTTAAAAAATCAAATTAAATTTCTTTTTCAAGTTCAATTAGTATAAAATTCAGGAAAAATATTCAGTTAGGCTTCCGCTTTTCCAAATCCGAATTGCCGGGCCTTACGCTTGACCCCTGTCATCAGATTTTGTACAGCCACCTTGTCCACTTTCTTCGCCGCAGAAAGCCAGTTTGCCTTGAACTGCTGCTCGCCCTTAGCAGTTTTTTTGGTCTTCTTTAGGTTCCGCTTGACAATAGCCCAGTATTTCTCAATTGGGCGGAGCTCTGGCGTGTTGGGAGGGTTCTTGTCCTTGGGAACCACCTGCACGTTGTTGGCGGCGTACCACTCCATGGCCTTTTTACCGTAATGGCAAGATGCCAAATCCGGCCAAAACAGTACGGAACAACCGTGTTTCTTCAGGAAAGGCAGCAGACGTTTATTCAAACACTCTTTCACGTAAATTTCTTGGTTGACAGTCCCGGAAGCTATGAAAATGCTGCTTTTCAAGCCACAGGTACAGATGGCTTGCCAAAACAGATATTTCTTTGCGAACTTTGACAGTTTCATGTGCTTGAAAACATCTGCTACCTTTCCCCTTCCTTTTGCCGTATAAAACTCCTGTCCCGGAAGCTGCTTGTAGTCGGCTTTGACGTAGGTTTCGTCGTCCATTACCACGCAGTCAAACTTCGTCAGCATCGTCGTGTACAGCCTCCGGGATCGCGCTTTGGCCGTCGTATTTTGTTTATCATCGTGATTTGGAGTCACTACCTTCTTGTAAGTCGATAGTCCGGCTCGTTTTTTGGCTCGATGCACGGTTGTAGACGATACACCCAGCTTATTTGCGGCATCTCGGAGAGAGAGGTTAGGGTTTCGCTTGAAACTACCGGCAACTCTCTTTGTCGTCTCAGCGGCTTCCGGTTTTCGATTTCCCCCCGATCCAGACTTCTTGGCTGCCGACATACGTTCCCCTAACACTTTAATTACATTTGTAACGGTTGATTTGGCAACTTTTAGTGATTTTGCCAACTTTGCGTGCGAGTAGCTCGGATTTTCGCGATGCGCGAGCAAAATTTTGATACGCTGCTCTTCTTGCTTGGACGGCATTTTGACAACTGAAGAGTAAATTCCAAAATCAAAATAGGAGCAACATTCTACACACACACACCTTCAAAATGAGGGGTGTTCAGGTTTTTTAAATGCAAAATTGAAAGAAATACGTCAAGTTGATATTGACCAAATTTTGACCGTATCACCCTTTAATCTAAATGCACATACATAGATACCGACATGTTTTGCACTGCAGTGTCCATGAGCAATTAACGGAAAACAGATTGTGTGTAGTTTCCAATACATGTCACTGCCAACAACAGCAGTGACATCTGATGAGCATGAATGCAGAAACTTGACAAAATGATTAATTGTAGCTGGTGAGTATTGTTAGCTTGATATTCGAAGCTTGTAATATCATCCGCAGTAGTTTGCTCGTAGATTTTTGCGTATGAAAATCAAGCATTATCATGATCATTAGTGAGATTTGATTTTTTGATATTTTCCCAACACTTGCTGCTTGTTAAATTTACGAATTGATAAAGGGAAAGCAACGAAAATCCACGCGAGCCATTTTATCCCAGCCTTGCGTTTTGGACTGTCGGTCCCTACCTAAACAGCAAAAAATTAATTTTTAATGTCAAAAAGGACAAAATTATCATCAAATTTTACAGTGCATTTGTTTAATTTTGTAGCCATACAAATTACACGAGGTTTCGAAATGAGTAAAGTGCATCCTCTTGTATGTAATATTAAAATGTAATTTGTTGCTGTTTACTACATACAAAACAAACGGCATTAGATCTCATTGGTGGTACCAACCTCTTCGTAAAGAAATTTAGTCAAGCATGTTTCATGACTAACTAATCTGTAACAACTCAACCCACGTGCTTCTTTATACCATGGTGTACCCATTGCAATCCATAATTCCATCATAACTCGACCTCACTTTGGCCGCTGCGGGAGCGGAACAGCTGATCGCATACCTTACAGCCCATGTGTGCGTAACACCCATTGCTACACGATTTCCACCCACTCACACAGCCGCCCCGTCGGTTGAGAAACGTCAAAAAGTGGCGATAATTTTTCCTTCTGCTATCTAGGCTTCCGAACCGCGAGTGCAAAAATCGTGTTTTTCTTTATTTTCCCAGCTTTTTCATCTCAAAAGTGGTACCATTCGCTCGGTGCTTTACCCCTCCCAAACGTGGTGGTTTCAGTTTTCAGAAACACTTGATATCCATTTCGAAAAAATGAAATCATCCAAAGGCTCTTGACAAGCTACGCTGCGAACACCGTTTCATAGGGAATCCCCCGTTTCCGAGATTTGGCCGTACAACACAGTAAGTACAATAACAAAACAAACGCATGAATGTGACTTTCTTTGTGATGCAGAACGGTTTCAATTTCTTCGCAGACAACAATAATGGAAGCAATAATTCAAGATCTCAACATTCCAAAACGGCAGATTCGGGAAACCCGCTGCCCCAGTCGGTTCCAGCTGCTTGCTCACAAATCTTGGCTGAAATTAATTTCCCAAAGCGGAAAAGTATCCAGCGATTTCCCTCTGTACAGCACCGAAGCATTCGAGTGGCCCCGTGGTGGTCCCAGCAGTGCCTGGTCAAGGGTTTACGTCAGCGTAAGTACACCGATTTCGGAAAATTTTCTCTCTAGTTGCTCTAGTTGGGCAACTGCGTGGTTTCGTAACATAAGTGGTGTTGTGATGCTCGCCCGTTTTCGATGCGCTTCGCTGTTATGTTTTTATTTTGATGATGCGAATCGATTGAGGCGGAGTGACGGGCTTCGGGTTTATGTTTAGGTGCAAGATTGTTGTTTTCCGTCACACGCACACATCGGGCGGGAAAGCATGCTTTCTGCTTACACCGTTAACACCAATACCGATGCGCAGCGATGGTTTGTTTTGGTTTCGAACTCGTCTGTCCTCAATCTGCGTGAATGTTTGAGCACCAATTTGGTGTTTCGGTAAGTATTAAAATGCTATTGACACGACTTTGGCTGATTTGTTAAGAGTTTATGTACAGTAACTAAAAAAAAAGAAAAGTAATGATTGCAGAGATGGAAAGTGTTGTAAATTTCCTATAAGAATTGACGTCGGCTTTATGATTTAAGCAGCTAATAAGGATTTGATGAGCGACTATGTTGCGTGACGTTACAACGTATTGCAATTCTCAACTACGCTAATCAACAACTACTCACCAAAACTAATGCGCTACTCATATCAGAAACTCTTGATAAATATAATTATTGGAAATTTATTGCACTTACCAAATCTGGAATAAAATTTAAGAGGCATTTTCATAATTTTTTTTTTTTAGTTACACACTTCGACATTATTACCGATTTCGATAATTTATTACCGAACATTCAACAGCAACAACCCTCATTTCAAAACCTTTTTCACTAAATTTTAATTCCAAAACACTGTCAGCCTTGTTTAAACAGTCGATTCTTACCATTGTAGCACTGTTTTCCATGTTTTGAAGCTTTAAAACTAATGAATTAAAATGCCTGATTTTTAGCTGTTGAAAGTTCGGTAAAAATTACTGTGGTTGATAATCATTTCTAAATGTGTACGGTACAAAAACTGTTAAAAAAACAGGCAATGTGAAACCGGTTAATATGACAATATTCTCATCTAAACTCGCTCATACTTCTTCGATTGAATGCGTTGGAGTACAAGTTAATAAGCTGTGTTTTATCTATAAACTTATCTGTGCTAACTACCTATTGTTACCCTGTTCTTGATAATTTCGCTTTCTCCATTATGAAACCTAACGTGCATGGCAAATGAGAACGACCCAAATTTGAGTTTAGTTAACTAATAAATTACATAACGTGCAGGAACTCAGCGATGAGTAAATTGGCCTCATGTTTTTCCAGGATTGTCCTCGAAAAACTTCCCGAATATGAGAAAATTAAAGATCGGATTCACTCACAAAGCAAAATATAAATTTTAATATTACATCAAAGTGCATGCACTTCAATCGTGTCGAAAATATGGTGTAATATTACTTGCTAAAAAGGGCAAATTTATCATTAAAACAGTGCATGAACTGACATTACGCTGCTTTTACTGCATTAATCTTTAATTTTTTTAACAAAAGAAGGAGTGTTGTAACCCGAGAAACTTCTTAGAAGACACATAGTACCTTTACTCAGCCATTTCAGCGTAAATAAAAAAGCGCGTGTTTTGATACCCTTGGCACCACTGTGCAGCGGTGGCGAGCAATCGGATGATAGTGATTATGAAGCGTCAGGAGAAGATTCAAAGGACAAGTTCAGCAGTCTAATCGAAGAAGGCGAAGAAGAGTTAGAAGCTGATGTTGATCTATGTGATGACCACCAGGACGATCGAACGCCATAACGTGAGCGGAATGCTCCTGGGTTGCACAAGGACTACAAAGTCGAATATGCTACAGAGTAGGGTAGGATGGTGCAAACCGCACCGTTTAAGCAAAATCATCAATTGCTGGCGTATGGAAGCTAAAATCAAGAAGAAAGTAATGGTGTATGGTTCATTACCATGTTTTCTACGAAAATCAAGTGAATTCGAACTACAAAACGATGCATCTCCATGATTTTCAAGGTATTTTATAAATTGGTTCCAAAATGATAGCGGGGCAAAACGCCTGATTCATGGTGCAATATGCACCACAACATTGGAGCAAGACGCACTACAACAATGGCCAAAACGCACCACAACATTGGGGTAAAATGCACCGCATGATAGACAAACCATAACCCCTGCAAGTAAATAATGCAAAGGGATGAGGTATTCCAAATGATTATTCCTTTATGTTACATCATAAATAAGGCGAGATAAAGTCTAAATAGAGTGTTAAACTGCTTTATGCTTTAATGCTTTCATAAGTAAAACATCTAAAAAAATATACGAAAAGTGAATTCGTTCAATTTTTTGCGATATATGCTGTCAAAAGCTTAATTTGCAGTCCACGATTTTAACAACTGTGTCATATTTTGCACAAAATGCTATTTTTTTAAGGGAATCAGTATGATTTTATGATCAAGAATTACTTGTGAAACCTCCAGTTGAAAACAAACACAATCTGTTACCCGGAAAATGCATCTGAGGAAAAGTTATCGCTGTTTTTCTATAAGTGGGCATTTTACCCCAGGAGTGCATTATGGGCTGTTCTCCCTTACGTCGACAACGTTCCGAACTCTTTGGCGGAGGCACGAAAGCGGTATGATTGGCCAAAATGGGAAGAAGCTGTGATGGAGGAAATGGGTTCGCTGAATAAGAATAAAATATGGACCTTAACGAAGTTGCCTGGAAATCGAACGCCCATAATCAGCAAGTCGGTGTTTTTGATCAAGCGTGGTTTTGACGGACAGTCCGAAAAGTATAAAGCTCGCTTGGTTGCACGAGGTTTTAGCCAACGGCGAGGTTTCGACTACAGCGAGACCTACTCACCTGTCGCGAAGTTGGATATCCTGCGAACCGTGTTGGCGATAGCCAATCGAGCGTCGCGTGCGTGGAACGAGCGGTTTCATAGTTTTGTAAAGAACAGACTAAAGTTTATGCGAAGCTTAAACGATCAGTGCTTATACATGTGGAAGTCCGATAAGGGAACAGTGATTAAGGTGATTTACGAGGACGATATTGTGATGACGGTGAAATATTGTTTGGCTCAAGAATTTGAGATGACTGATTGTGGGGAGCTTAAGTGTTTCCTTGGAATGCGTATTGATCGCAACGTGAAGAAGAGTGAAATACGAATCAGTCAGAGACAGTAACTCGAGGATATGTTGCAGCGATTCAACATGGAAGACTGTAAGGCGATTTCAACACCAAGAGAAAATCGGTTGAAGCTTCCTCGTGGTGAAGAAAAGGATCGAACGACTCAAACTTTCAGAAAATTGTTTGACAAGCAGGCCGGACTTGGCGGCGGGAATCACGTGACTGACTGGTTGTGAGAACTATGCGGGGTGAAACCGGTAAGGAAAGTGGACGGACCTATGAAGTGGTCAATGCTGCCGTGGATCGTCGAGCGAGGGCGAAAATTATGTTACTTCTAGACCCCATTAATTATGTGCATGTTAAGGAGGAACAAACGTCGATGTTGGATTGTGCATTCTAGGATACAGGATTGACACGAAGAGTTGGACTTTTGCACAAACTGCACCTTGATGGACGATTGTGTGAACCGAATTGTGTCTATCGCGCACCAGTTGAACGGAATTAACTTCCCGAGATCCAACGAGTGGGTGGGAACGCTGTTGCTGGCTGGTCTTCCGGAAGGATATCGCCCGATGATAACGGTGCTTGAAAAAATGAGAATTGCAATCAGCGGCGAAGCAATCAAAACAAAGTTGTTACAGTAGGTGAACTACTCACAAAAGTATAACCATCTCATACGGATTTTTGTCAGAAATGAGCTATCCTGTAAACTACCGGCATTTCATACTGTGCACTAAAAGTTACATGTTTTGTGTGAAAAATACCCAAACTAGGTTATCCCATCCATAAGAGCTTACGGAGAAATAAATTTTTAACAGCGTATTCCTCGGCATGCTGTTTTTTTTCCATATGGGACTGATATGCTTTTATGGGCAGTAAAATTCTCAGCGCAAATCTAAGTAACGTACATACCGATGAGTGAGACGAGGAGTGATCCCCCTAAAGGGCCGAAATGTCGAAAGTGACTACATGACTACCTCCCGCAAGTTGTTGTAAAATATGAAACCTTTGACTAGAACCGTCGTCGCTACTAACAGGAACAGCATGAATGTGATTGGAACTGGTTCGGATATTATTCCAGTGCATGAAGTCCATCTCGAACAGCAACAGCGGATAGATCCACGCTTTGGCTTGCTCATCTGCAATTCTAGATAGAGCTGGAATTAGGGCGTAACAGCCTTTGTAAACAATGATTTCTCTCGTTGATTTTTAGGAATTCAAGGCACGCCTACACAAACCAACATATCCATCGAGTAAGGGAAGTCTTCCCCTACTCGATCGTGATGTCGATTTGCCAGGGAAAGCCATAACTTTCGAGAAATCCTCGAGAGAAGTCATTGTTTACAAAAGCTGTTACGCCCTAATTCCAGCTCTATCTAGAATTAATCTAAACGTTTGACACCAGAGGTTGGGCCACTTGAACCTGGAAAGTGTCGGCAAGCTGGCCAACGGATTGGTGGATGAAATCACGATCGTCGATACGAATGTGGGGGACTGTAATGTAAAACATTTCCGGCATCCCTTTAGCAAGAAAAGTTCACGTACTGCAGAGGTACTCGATGTGGTGCACTCCGATATCTGTGGCCTATGGAAATGAATTATCACGACGGAAGCAGGTACTACATCTTCTTCGTTGACGATAAATCCAGAAACATGTGGACGTACTTCAGAACTCATTATTTCGCGAAATGGCAACCGGTGGAAATGAAGACCTTATGCAGCAGATTGTCCAGCAGAACCAACAGATGGCGGAGTAAAACGCACGGTTGATGCTCATGGTGGAACGCTTCGGAATGCAAGAAGATACCGGACGGCCTTCGAGCAGCCTAGGATTTATCATTGAATCTCTGGCAACGAACATCCACGAAGTCACCTACAATCCAGATAACGGTCTAGTTTTCGACCGGATCGAGACGAATCGAACTGATTCAGGACTTTGAGATGCCCAGCATCAATTTGTCACCAGACGGACAGTACATTCTGGCGACGGGAACATACAAACTACCGATCAACTGCTAGGATGTGTACAATCTGTCGCTGAAGTTTGAACGATGCTTCGATTCGGAGGTGGTGAAATTCAAGATTCTGAGCGAGGACTACAGCAAGGTTGTGTTTTTGCAAGTGGATCGATTTGTGGAGTTTCATGCTGCACACGGTAGGCACTACAGCATTCCGAGGTTTGGAAAAGATTTGGATTACCCCAAGCCGTCGTGTGATTTGTTCCTGTTGGGGGCGTCGTCGGAGATTTATCGCCTGAATACCGAGAGGGGTCAGTTTCTGAACCTTATAGCACTTCTGCCAGCAGTATCAATGCGTGTGAGGTGCGTAGGAACTCAGTAAGGAACGGTGAAGGCTAGCACTTTGCTGTCGGATGATCGATTTAGGAACATGTCGGATGACTACGTGGTAGACAAAACGGCCTTCGAGTATCGGTTACTGAATCCGGTGCTGACCCGTTTTGATAAGTCACGGTCACAAAAGTTGAAGGCTGGAGAGGAATTCGAGGAATGTGGCAGTACGGATGAGGATTTGTTTAGTGAAAAGGACGAAAGCTCCGACGACGATCAGGGTTGGACGAAGCAGGTTAAGAAGGAGTTTAGGAAGATCACTTGGGATCAGAATCGAGAGCTACGGATGGAAGTGGATCAGAAAGAGGAGCAGGATGATGACGATGATGATGAAGGTCCGTCGATAGCGGTGCATGAGAAGACGGATTTCAACATTAGCCACACAAGCCGGAAGATTAGCAAGGCCGGACTGGGTAAACGGTTAGCTGCCGGCAAACCGATGGAGACGATTGGAGGGCTGGAAAATCGTCAGATGACGTTCAGCACCGAGAGAAAAAAAAACAGCGGATACGATAAGAAACGGCAGGCGGAGTTGAGGAAGCATCGAGAAGAGCGGAAGAAGGTGATACGGCCAACTACCAATTTTAAGAGAATGTCTAAAAAATGAGGGTGATACACTCTTGTTTAATATCTATTAATTATTAGAATATGTTTGTTCGTGAGGTTTATTTCCAGGAAATGCCTGTGTAATTTAATAAAGAATTTAAATATCAAGAACTTTTAAGTATGTTAAGCAATCCGAAAATTTCTTTGAAGGCAACCAAGAGATTACACCTTTCTTCACAATTCTTCAGGATTTACAACGCAACCGTCTCCAGAGGTTTTCACTAGGATTATAATCCTGAAAAACTGTTGTCAGCACGGAAATAATAATTGTTAGTGAGTTGGGTCGAAATGTTATACTAATATCAACATGAAGCTTATTTTATTAGCTTGAGAAAGTTTTGACGAGGATAGATTGACACGGTAGTGTGAAAATTGAACAGAATTTGATACTGAGCGAAGGGCCATTAATGCGACAATAATAATCAAATTCACACTGATCGCAGTAGGCCACGCATGAAAGCTGACGTGTTTTTCTTTTGCTGCGTATTTTTTGTAAGCGAATTAAACCTTTTTTTTAACTTGTTGATTTGTGTGCTGAAATTTAGTTTCACGTGCTCATAAAGTTATCATTTAGTGATATATCGTGTTTTGCCTGAGTTTGCCTTGAGTGACTCAGTTGACCTGGAAGGAAATAACGGCTAAACTTACAAACTTACGGTTCAAGCTTTCCATGAAATTTTCTGTCGATACGGCATTCCGGAGTCAATCAAAACGGACCACGGTCCACAGTTTGTGAGTGAGGCACTGCACATTTTCTGTAAGGAATATGCAGTGGAACTACGGAAAACTACCCCTTACTGGCCTCAAGCCAACGGGGAAGTGAAAAGAGCTAATCAAGCATTAAAGAAGAGATTGCAGATAAGCCAGGAAACCGTGGGTTCAGACTGGAAGTGGGATTTACGGATGTATTTGCTCATGTACAATTCCATGCCCCATTCAACGACAGGAGTTGCGCCATCGCTATTAATGTTTGGGAGAGTTTTACGCGATAAGCTACCAGCGGTTCAACATTCAGGTATGAAGCTAGTTGAGGAAATTCAAGATCGGGATCGTGAAAAGAAGGCTAAGGAGGCGGAGTACGCAGATTCTCAACTGCGAGCTAAACCCAATTCACTTAAAGAGAGAGACATAGTGGTAGCAAAGCGAATGATGAAAGACAATAAGCTCGCTACTAATTTCAGTCCGGAAGAGCTAACGGTATTAGAACGTTGTGGCCCAGACGTCTAATTGCATTCTAAGGAAACGGGAAGAGTGTTTCATCGGGATGTATCCCATTTGAAGCGGTTGGTAACAAGACCAGGAAACAACCCATAAATTCCAGAATCATCGTCGACCAGTTCCAGCCTTGGCCTAGAGAGTTCAGTTTCAACAGATTCATCGAGATCAACAGCAGTTATGGCACTACCAGAACGACCCCATTGAGATAGCAAGAAACCAGCGTACTTGAGCAATTATCGATTGGGTGCAGTTACAGATTATCGAGAAGGAGGAGAGATGTAGAATAGGGATAATTCTTAAGCGTAACAGAGCTATTCTGATTTACTGGACGGCAGTCAGTGACTTGTAAACCCTAGCATAGAATAAGTGTGTAAAGAAGAGAAAACGAAATACACGGGCAGTTTATGGTAGACTATGCAGCGAAGTGGTTATTATTTCTTTTCGTTCCGAGTTCCGACACGACAGTAACCTCCAAAATATAAGACGCAGCTTCAGTTCCATTGTTCGGTGTCGATTTTCATTGCCTCCCGGGGGCCCAGTTCTCCGAGTTCGGATGCTACACTTTCGGCGTGTAGTTATATTGAGAGATCGGTCCGGTTGGTGAATTAGCCCGGGAACGTATTGATAATGTGTCCATCGCGAGTTTTGTTGATTCGGTGGCCGACGTTGCCGTGAATCAGCAAGTTTTCCGCTTACAAAAGTGCTCGGCTGCTGGTCTCTCACCGGTGTCGGAGATTGCGAGCAATGTGAAAAATGCCTCGCTGGATACGCCCAGTGGCAGTTGGTGGCCGTGAACTGTGGGAAAGCACTAGACGCGAACCTCCTCTCAGATGACCATGGTAATGCAAGACAATTTGTGTTCGTTAAAGGAAGTATTACGACAAAGGTGCATCACGAAATAAGATGCAAAGCTTAGAGAAAATCAAAACTATGGAGCCCGTGGATTGGAGGATCAAATTAACATGGTGAGACCCGTCCAAATACTGTTTACAATTTAAAACTTAACAATACTAAATACGTGCCAGAATTCAAAACAAGATTTTGAAACTGGAAGTGAGTGTGTAATGATAATATCCATTTGATAACGGTGATGCATACATGCGGAACTTATGGTAAGTGAAAGTAACCTCGAAATGGGCGTGACTCTCCAGACATTCTGAAATGGGTTACTGGATCTGCAATAGAGCTATCACTTTCTAACTCCCGGACTAAAGCTGTCTACAATGACCATAAATGCGACATTGTAGAGAGATTTGTTCCATAATAACACTGCCGGGCAGTGGGGGTTTGAGGTAATACACACATACACACACTAGATTCCTAAATGGCAGCTCTGTGGACTTTTTTTTTTAACTTTCCGCAATTCTGGGATTTTTTGTTAAATTGTATATTGTATAAAACTGAAATTTTATATCGTCAATGGATTCATTGTTCTTTTAAAGATAAGCTTTTAGTTACGTAGTTGGTATATTTTTAGCCACCCTTTTTTAACATGAGCAGTTCTTTGGAGTTTTGATGATCTTATTATTTTTTGCACAGTAAACGCAGCTTGTAATAAAATTAAGACAAATCAGAATTAAAAAAGAAGATTTTCCTTCTTTCAAACATGAGCAGTTCTTTGAAGTTTTGTTGTTCGGCATTCATCCAAATGGCATTCGGCCAAACGGCATTCGGCCAAATGACCCGGAACCAATAAATAAGATTCAATGTTTACTCTTCATACTGCACGGTTTATGTTGCTGCCCATGCCATGCTCGAGTTCTAATAATATTCCAAACATTCTATTCCTTTCATTCAGGTCTACAAGAAGCACCCAAGCAAGGTGATTCCACTTCCGCGCAACAAGCTGCTGGCCAATCTCAACAACGGAGACGCGCATCCTTCGGAAAACGAAGACCCGCTGCACTACTCGCAACTGCTGCAGTACGTCTCTCAAACTAACCACAAGAATCTATGGAAAACTGCCTACCGCAAGTATGCCGCTTCTCGTCCAGAACAACATCAACAACCGCCACAACCGGTAGGGACCGCAAGCAATGCCCATCAGCAATTGACTAGCATCGGTAGTTTCGACAATGGCAATAGTTCCACTATCAGCAACAACAACAACAATAGTACAAAGAAACAACAGCAGGAGAACATCAACATATCAGCGGCACTGTTCCCATATGATTTCGTGCTCCGTGAAACGCTGACCCGAACCTACGGTTGCCGGGTTGTACGGATGGACGTCTGCGGAGAAGAGGGTGGAGTCGTCACGGAACCTGCTAGCTCACTAATGCAACCGCATGCCAATCTTTACCCGGTCCTGGGAGCAGTCGAGACCAATTTGAATCTGTATTTAATTTTTGATCCGTATATTGAGAACAATCTGCTGGATTGCGTTACCTACAGTTCAGCCATCCTGGAGAAATCTCATAACAAACCACTATTCCTGGTCTACCAACTGTTGAATCTGATGAAGTCGTTTCATGATCGTGGGCTAAACATGGGCAACATCGGGCTAGGTGATATCTGTCTGACGGAAAATTTATGGCTGAGAGTGATTCCCAATCTGGAGGCAAATCTGTTGGAGTTTGACGACGAGATTCAACGGCAACTGGAGGAACTGAGTTCAAATCGGTTGACTTTGAGTAGAGATTCCAAAGTCAGGCTTCTCAAGGGATTGGATCTGAAATACTCACTGAAGGACTACTGCGAAATGTGGTGTCACGGGCAGTTGTCTAACTTTGACTACCTCACGATTTTGAACAATCTGGCTGGGAGGAAGATCGGATGCCCGGAGCACCACCATATCATGCCATGGGTTACAGATTTCTCTACCAGGAACGGTCAAATTTGGAGGGATTTGAAAAAGTCTAAATACCGACTGAACAAAGGCGATGCCCAGCTGGATTTAACGTTTCATGCGGCGATCGGAACGGACGGAACCGTTCCGCATCATGTTTCGGATGTCCTATCGGAAATCACATATTATGTTTACATGGCTCGAAGAACGCCCAAGTCTGTCCTATGCAAGTACGTTCGTCCGATTTGGGTTCCAGCGGAGTATCCCATTTCGATTCAACGCCTGCACGAGTGGACACCAGACGAATGTATTCCGGAGTTCTTCACCGACCCGGCAGTATTTAAAAGTATTCACGAAGATCTACCGGATCTGGAGGTTCCGATTTGGGCTACCTGTCCAGAAGATTTCATCGTAAAACATCGAGAAGCACTGGAGAGTCAGTACGTTTCGGAGAAGCTGCACCATTGGATTGATCTCACCTTTGGCTACAAGCTGACCGGTTCATCAGCGGTTAAGTCGAAGAACGTTTGCCTTTCGTTGGTGGACAAACATCAAAATCTCTGTCAACGGGGAGTTGTTCAGCTGTTTACCAATCCGCATCCAGCCCGTCAGTTTACAACCATCTGGAATGGGAAGGCTCCTCCAAGGTTGTCAACGCTCCAAGAATCTCGTCAACGGTTGACTCGCAGCTCGGAAGATCTGTCTCGTCAGGGTTCCAGTTCTGGTTACTCCGGATCAGAGTCCGGATTCTATCCGGAATACTCCTCGTCGCCACAGAGTCGCTACTCTTCGCAGATTCTCCGCACTGCCGGAAAGTCCGAGTCCATGGAGCGATCGACAAGCTATCACATCAATGTTCAAGCGAAGGCTCCGTCGATACTGGTTCTACCTAAGAACTACAATCCCGTAGCACAGTTGAATGCCGTAGAAAACTTGGGGGTTTTCGTCTTCAAGACCTTCCAATCGTCACTAGCTTCAGCTGAATCGGAGAAGGATTCTGCAAAGAACAAACTACTGGATGACGACTTTGAACTTTGGAATGTGAGCACCACCAGTAGCTACGATCGAGAGTTGGGTTATGAAAGTAACTCTTTTACGAATCGATTGTTTTCCGAAGCCTACGAGGCTTCCCTGCTGAAAGATAGGAAAATGTTCCAGAATTTAAGATCTCAGAGTCAACAGCACCAAACAACGTCAAAACATACATTCAAACAAATTCTGCTGGACGTCCGGACCAAAGATCTGAAGGTACTGGGATGTCTGATTGTGGAGCTTTTCCTAGCAGCAAAGCTACGCCCACTAGGAAGCTGCCTGCAGCAGGATTTCGACAGCAGATTGGAGTCATGTGTGATGCTCGTGAAAAAGGATTTGAAATTACTACCGGTGTGTATTCAATATGCAGTAAAGCTGCTTCTCGGAATTGATCCCCCGGAATCAGACACTACAGTGACGGAGAAAGGCCTTCCACATCCGTCGCCTCACCAATTCTTGCAACCACTGCTTGCCGGTCTCCTCATTCCGTTCCCTCCGCAATATCTGCGAATTTACCAAACCATCAAAGCTCTGAATCACTTTGACGAATCCACTTACCTGCTAGATCTGCACACATTCTTCGACTGCGATGGAAAAAATTGCTCCCGTTACGTGAATCTCGACAAACTTCGAATAGATTTCCGCCGCCGAATAGCTGAATGTAAAATCAACAGCTGTGTTGCCCTAACGGAGGGACTGCTAGAACCTTGCGGCACCGAACAATACTCCACCGTAGAACTACTTCTACCGCACTTTATCGAACTGATCAAGGCCGACGACACCTCGATCTTGGCCGCATGGAACCTCTTCGATTCGATATCGACCGCCTTGGGAATCAAAGGAACTCAGCGGCACCTCTTGCATCCGATTCTTCTACTATACGAATCGGATGACAATGAGACTCGAATCTCCCAGCAGCAGAACCCTCCAGCTAATGTGGATCAAGGAACGCTAAAATTTACCCGCAACACTTCATTCAAGTCTCGGAAATCTGTCAAACTTTACCATCACAGTTTCCTGCTGAAACTGATCGTACGTTTCGGCTTGCGGTGCTTCTTGGAAAACTTCATAGCTCCCCTGGTGGAAGCTGTTGGAGGCTACAAAGATGCGGATTTCAACCAACCCTATCATTTCCACGAAAACCTACCGTTTGGGGAATTCCGCAGATCCCGCTCTTGCCGAAACTTCAAGCTGAAAAGCGATAGCAGCATTGATCCGACCTCAGGCAATGGAAATGCAAGCCAAGGACATGAATCACTGTCCATTTCCAACACTCTCGTTTCCCCGGATGCCTCTGACAAGACGATCTCGCCAACAATTGCTCAGAATCTACCACTGGACGACGGGTCAATCGATGAGGACAACGAGGAAATGTTCAGTTTCGATGAAGATCCTCCACCGGATCGGGAAAAAAAGTACACGACCATTATCAATGTCGGCGGTGATGAGTTGAGTGACACGGAAATGGAGACGGCCATGAAGAAAATTATCGAAGATTTCGATATGAAAGCTGACGCTTGTAGCTTTGATCTACCGCTGAATCACTCGCAAGCTGATGAAGCGATCGAAGATGCTCTGGAGGATGAGTTTGTTCTATCACACCAGGCCATGTCGGCCAGTATGGAGCAGCTCAATTTGACCATAGCCGTCACCGAGGAACCTGAAGGGGGCATTGAAGATCCAAAGTCACCAACCATTCCGATTCCTTCGTCCTTCCGGAGGAGCATCGAGTTGAACTCAATAGGATGCGAAATTGGAAGCAAGAAAAGTGTAGACTCCATGGAATTCCTGTGCAAAACTCCACGGGAAGATAAGATTGATGGTTCAACGAAGAACGCTGGTTCTACTAGCCAAAATGTTCAGAAAACTCCTGAATCAGCCAAAACTAGATCAACCCGGATATCAGAGATGAGTTCGGAGAGTTTGATTTGGTTGTCTCATCGCCTTGGTCCAGTTCTGACCGCACGCTACCTCACCCGCAATCTGCTGAAAATGCTCACGCTGTGCTACGTTGGTTCGGAAAACCTTGTTCCGAGCGATTCCCATTCCCGAAGTCAATCCACGAGCATCAGCCTTAACTATTTCACGATCGCTGATGGCTGTGTAGCTGGCGATGAAGCTGCTCAACGCGTCATCGAGTGTCTAACCTCAATTTCGGCTCTCTTCGGTGATCAATTTATCCTGCTACAATACTTCCCTCACGCCAGCGAACTGATTGCTCTCTGCCGCAAGAAAACCACGCCAACACTAGAAGGGGGCCTGATCAGCTCTCTCCAACTAGTCAAATGTCTGATTCCTTACCTGAACGACACCACCGTCATGGATCAACTGCAAGACTTTCTTCTCCGTTCGATCATTCATCCGATCATCCGACTGCTGGAATCCACCAAGTTCGTCATGCCCAGCGGTTTCCTAGCTCGGTCGGTCTTAGCCCGGAAACTCATCGACACGCTTTACGTGATATCGATTCGCATCGGACGCGAAATGACCCGGGAGCACATTTGCGTTCCAGCTCTCCAACGATTCTTCCTGATCTTTGACAAAGCGTACGGCCGCAGCGAACACCTAAGTGATCTCAAGTCCCGCGTTGAATCCAGTCCATGTAGTTCTGGTACCGAAGACTCCCACATCATCGAGTTCCGTCGCGATGGTGGAACGCGTGAACTCTCCGTTAGTGGTCAGGAAATCCGCCCAGCACGTATTAAAGGTCAAGAGCCTCTTGATAGCTACACCCCACCGAGTGCTCTCAATCTTGAATTCCAACCCAACTATGGATCCCAACCACCCATCCAAGGCTGTGTTCGATCGAAGGCGATCGAAGAGATTAGAGATGTCTTCACGCCAAATCTTGCCTACTGTGCTTTCCTTCCCTTCCTCAACTACCTCGGTCAGTATGAGATGTCTCAGACACTGAAAAACATGGCCCTGATTTTGAACCTCTGCCACGATCATGAGCAACCGGACTACTCGCGGGAAGATCACGTTCGGTTTAAAACTGAAGCCGATCGGGATGAGGAGGAAGCTCAACTCGACTCACTCAACTGTTCGAATACGTTTGGATCGAACATCATCGGTAATCGGATTGAGGTACGAAATGATTCCAACAAAATTGAGTTGGAACAGAAGGAGCTCCTCGGGATGGTGACATACCGCCTGGAGCAGGTAAACAGTGCTAGGAATCTACGAGGTAATTGGCTGGCGTACTGGGAACATGAGATTGGCCGTTCGGATAAGGACAGCCGGTTTAACTTGAAGCAAATCAAGTTGCAGACCTACAGCGGACATACGAGCTCAATTAAAGCAGTGCTGGCGCTCGACAATGAGAATAGCTTCATTTCGGCAGCGAAGGACAAAACCGTCAAACTGTGGTCGCTGAGAAGCGAAGGAGACGGTAGCAAGATTTCGTCCTGTCAGTTCACCTATACCAACCATCGGAAGTCGGTGCATTCTTTGGCGTTCCTGGAATCAATGAGGTTGGTTATTTATGGATATATGAGGAATTGATAACTATTTCCGTTATTTTAGATTGACCATTTCCTGCGACTCCGGAGTCCACCTGTGGGACCCATTCGTGGGAGCCCAGATCGGTCAGCTCGATGTCCCCAAATATACTCCCGTCTCGGTGGTGAAAACTTTCCCATCCCCTAGCTGTCTAGTTCTGGCCGGAACAGCTGACAGCTGCGTCCGGATGATCGATGCCCGTACCTTCAGCTACTGTCACGAATGGCGTGTATCCAACGCACCTGTCGGCTCGGTACGAACCATTGCCGTTTCTCCTTCTGGAGCGTGGATCGCTGTGGGGCTCAGCTCCGGTCATGTAACCGTCCTCGACGGACGAACCGGATTCATCATTTCCTCCTGGCGAGCGAATGATAGCGATCTTCTGCAGCTGCTGGCACCGAACGAAAATCAACTGGTCAGCACCAGCCTGGATTACTCCGTCAGCGTGTGGAATCCCAACACTGGAAATTTACAGTTCAATTTGAAGTAAGTCCCTTGAATTGCGGAACAAGTAATCATGACCAAACCAATTTTTTTTTCCCCCATCAGAAACCGTCCGGAACCGGTCCACTGTTTGATCAACAACGGCTCGGAGCTGATCGTCGGAACGCCTACCAATCGCATCGGCGTCTACGGTTCCATCAGTACGGATACGACCAATACGTACACGAAGCTTCGCTCGGACACGTTCAAGGGGGTACTGACCAGTTTTGCGCTGCTTCCGCTGAACCGAATTCTGCTGGTCGGTGGTGATAATGGCAATATTAGTTTGCTTTGCTAGAAAGAGATTTTACCATGTAGAGAAGTTGGGGCGATATTTGTTGAAATTTGTGTGATTATGCATTCCTTTCCATAAAATTAGAGATAAAAAATAAGCTAAGCACTGCTGGAGAAATCTGAAAGCATTCCAACGTTTGCATGCAAACAAAAGTACGGGACTTATGCAATTATTGTTTGATGTTTTTGGTGAAGAAAGTGTGAGTTATCATTATTAAATACTTATTACTATTTGAATCTCATACACAAAAAGTGTGGTTATGAGCATTGATATTGTGAAGTAAAGCATACCAAAACAATTAATAAAGATAGGCGTGATTGATTAGAAATTAATATTATTGAATTTATAAAATGTGAAAGAAATTTCTGCAGCCCACTCTTTGTGTATCATGCCTTATTTTATTTTTTATCTGATATGTGCTGTATGCTTTATCTTGTCCTACGACTGCAAACAAAACCAATTCTTTGTGGCTTTTGGAATACGATTTTAACAAATTTTTGTGCCTCTATTGCACATAAAGGCATAGGGTTTTTGAACAAAAAATTTAATAATTATACTATAGGTGAATTGAAAATGTATTTACCTTTCCATACGTACCGTTGGATTTGGCAAAGAGTCACAAATTGTTGAGAATTTGTTAAAAATTGAACACTGCGTCTTGAATTCAAATTTTATCCCACGAGTTTCAATTCCGTATTAAAGTGAAAGTGCATCGGTTCAGAATGACTCATCGATTTTTTTACAAAAATACGCAACGTTCAATCGAAAAAAAAAAACATTTTCGTGCAAACTCAAAGAACTAATTGATTTTTTGTTTTAATTTTGTGAAAACCATTTTCTATATTAAATTAAAGGACCACAATCATAGTGGTCGCTTACTTTGCTCATCAATTACGCAAGTATTTAGTATGAAATTTTATGTTTGACTTCCGTAGATCGTTTCAAAATGCTGTTAGGAACATTTCCTTCGAAAACAATATACCTGTAAAATGCATTATTTCAAAACAAACAATTTTTTTGTAACGCAACCCCAAGCATTAGACTTCCTTTTCCTAAGGAATCAACTTGCTTTGCATGAATCTGAGCGATTTTGTGATTTAGAATTAGAACGCTCGTTTCACAGAGAAGTGAAAAAAGGCAACGCGACGGGGCGATCCATGAATGAATTAGCAAAAAAACCATCAGCACCGAGAGCATGATCAAGCTCGCGTGTGACATTTGTCGTTCACAATAATTGATGAACATTATAAAATATCTTTTGGTATTTCAATTCGGAAATTCTGCGAAAATTATCGAAAATTTAATTTATTTTTTATTTTTTATTGGATATTTTAAAGATAGGGGAATTTACGTATTCTCGGCAATCTAAGCAGCGACCTTCTTTCTATAGCCTTTTTCTCTAAGAAACGCACACATATGCAGTATTGGTTTGTTTACAATCTTTTGCTGCCAGATGCTCTAACAATTTCAGTCGAAAGAATTGTCAAAAACTGTTTTGAAACGCTTTTACAAAGCTCCAATCTTCTAAGCGAGTATTGTCGGCAACCAGTTTTTCTTCGGCAACCGTTCCATTTGAACTGCATGTAAATCTGCTGTTCTATTATCGGCAACTCGAAATCAGCTACAATTTGTAGTGCGTGTGTTTCATTTCAAGAAAACCTTGCTAGATTGCTTTTTCTCAGTGGTAAAAATATAGATAAAAAGGAAGCTGAAAGCATAAAGAATCGTTTGCATGCATTCAGCGAAGTGTTTTCGTAAGAAAATCCAGTGAAAATAGTGTTTCATTTTGGGTTGCCGAAAATAGTCTGGCATGCCGAAGCCGTCATTTCCCCTAATTAAATGGGGATACATTTTGTGAAAACCGAAAATGGAACATGTAACGAAATTATGAAAGATTTTGAACGTTAATAACTCAGCTGCCCCTGAACCAATTGAAATAACTTTATCACCAATCGATCAGACATATTTCTACGCATGTGTTATATTGAAGACTTTATCATTTTTCAAAATTTCATTATTGAAAATTGCAGGAATGTGTAACTGTTTTTATGATAGTTAAAATTATCACCGACTGCATGCTAAAAGCGATTTCCCTGACACAGATTACAAAGTTGAATTCCATCCGATCTCACCAAACGGTGTTTATTCAACCACCGCGTGGTGACAAGCCGTTCAAAGTGGTCCTGCGTGGTCTACCCGACATGGAAATCGCCACGCTATCAGATGAGCTGAAGAAGCACGACCTAAATCCGTTGCAAGTCTTCAAGATGAATCGGCACTACGTCTTCCGTAAGTACCGTGACCAATTGTATTTGGTCCACCTCGAGCGAAACACAACGTGTTTGAAGGACCTGCAGTGTATTCTGGCGCTTTTCCACATCGTGGTTAAGTGGGAACGCTACCAACCTCGCCCCCGTAACGTCACCCAATGCTCAAACGGCCTCATGTTTGGGCATGGGATTAAAAATTGCCACATGGCTCATCACTGCAACGAATGTGGTAAGCAACACGCACCCGAAGAATGCGAGAGGATGGAGAACGCCGATCCACAATGCGCCAACTGTGGTGCCGCACATCGAGTTACCAGCAAGTCTTGCCCAAAGTGTGTGGAATTCATGGAAATCCGCAAAAGCACCTCCACGCAGAACCAGCCGGGTCGAAAAACGGTACTAGCACGCAATGAGCTGAATTTCCCCGCCATTAGCCAACGGCGTCCGATTCCGATTCTTCCACCACTACCGCTCAACAACCGTTTGGCTACTGCTGCTGCATCGGTCCCGCCAACTGCTGATGTGCCAAACCATCCGGCTAATCCAAGCCGTCAGTCCTATGCGGCAACGGTTTCGTCCCCTCCCCCGGGACTATCGTGGCGTCGAGATGATGCCCCACCATCGCATGAAAACGAAGAGCTACTCACAACAGAGGAACTTATTACCATCATGGCAGAAGCAATCATTATCAAGCGCTCCTGCGGAACCAGAACCGAGCAGATTCTTGCTGCATCACGTTTCATCGGCAATTATGGACCGTGAAACCATCAAGATCGTCAACTGGAACAAGCGAGCAAGATCATCGAGTTTGTTGACTTCATCAACAAACAAAACATCGAAATTACCGTTATCACCGAAACCCACCTGAAACCGGAGGTAAACGTCTACCTTCCTGACTTTCGGCTACTAAGCTCCGAGGGAGGAGTGGTCATTGCTGTAAAGGAAACATCTGCTGTCGGCTTCTGCCGAGCTTCCAGCTGAAAATCATCGAAGCTTCCGGGGTAGAAGTTTCCACTCCTGTCGGTCCTATCACCATCATTGCGACCTACTGCCCCAAGCAAGTCACCATCAGGGACGGGTCGGCAGCAGACCTGCGGAGGGACATCATCAAACTAACTCAACGGCACGAAAAGAACGCCAAACACCAGGCTGAACGACGACCAGCAAGAGGCTCGCTAGTCCTTCCCGACGCAACTTCCATCGTGTCAGCTAGGAGCATTTCCAACACTGTGTCGACTCCACTGTCTACTACGGTGTCTTTCCGGAGACGCCCGAAGACGATGACCGGTGTCGAGGAGGCGATATCCCGGGCAAGGGAGCAACACGTGCCAGTATCCAGACAGATGAGCAATACTCTGAACCTTGATAGAGTTACCAAAGATCTCATCAGACTCCGTAACTCCATACAATCAATACCAGCCCAAGCCACGACGTCAACATCATCATAGGAGACCTAAACGCTCAGGTAGGCCAGGAGGAGGAATTCAGACCGACGATTGGAAAGTTCAGCGCCCACCAGCTGACGAACGGGAACGGCCTACGACTCATCGATTTCGCCGCCTCCAAGAACATGGCCATACGTAGCACCTTTTTCCAACACCACCTCCCCTATCGTTACACCTGGAGATCACCACAGCAGACGGAATCGCAAATCGACCACGTTCTGATTGATGGACGGCACTTCTCCGACATTATCGACGTCAGGACCTATTGTGGCACTAACATCGACTCTGACCACTACCTGGTGATGGTCAAACTGCGCCCAAAAATTTTCCGTCATCAACAATGTACGGTACCGACGCCCGCCACGGTACAACCTAGAGCGACTGAAGCAACCGGCTGTCGCCTTAGCATACGCGCAGAATCTCGAGGCAGCGTTGCCAGAGGAGGGCGAGCTCGATGTGCCCCCTCTAGAGGACTGCTGGAGTACAGTAAAAGCAGCCATCACCGACGCAGCCGAGAGCACCATCGGGTACGTGGAAAGAAGTCGACGGAATGAATGGTTCGACGAGGAGTGCAGAGCGATTTTGGTGGACAAGAACGCAGCGCGGGCGGTAATGCTGCAGCAAGCAACCCGACAGAACGTGTAACGGTATAAACAGAAGCGGAAACAGCAGACCCGCATCTTTCGGGAGATAAAACGCCACCTGGAAGAAGCGGAGTGCGAGGAAATGGAACTGCTGTGCCGTTCCCAAGAAACACGGAAGTTCTACCAGAAGCTCAACGCATCCCGCAACGGCTTTGTGCCGCGAGCCGAAATGTGCAAGGATAAGAACGGGAGCCTCTTGACGGACGGACGTGAGGTGATTGAAAGGTGGAAGCAGCACTTCGATGCGCACCTGAATGGCGAGGAGAACGTAGGCACGGGAGACCATTGCAATGGAGGAAACGACTACGTCAGTGCAGCAGAGGACAGAACTGACCCAACTCCCACGCTGAGGGAAGTTAAGGACTCCATTCAGCAGCACAAAAACAACAAAGCAGCTGGTAAGGATGGTATCGCAGCCGAACTCATCAAGATGGGCCCAGAAAAGTTGGCCACCTGCCTGGACCGGATGATAGTCAGGACCTGGGAAACAGAACAGCTACCGGAGGAGTGGAAGGAGGGGGTAATCTGCCCCATTCACAAGAAAGGCGACCATTTGGAATGTGAGAACTTCAGAGCGATCACCGTTTTGAATGCCGCCTACAAAGTGCTATCCCAGATCATCTTCCGTCGTCTATCACCTAAAATGACCGAGTTCGTGGTAAGTTATCAAGCCGGCTTCATTGACGGCCGATCGACAACGGACCAGATCTTCACCGTACGGCAAATCCTCCAGAAATGCCGTGAATACCAGGTCCCAACGCATCATTTGTTCATCGACTTTAAGGCGGCATACGACAGTATCGACCGCACAGAGCTATGGAAAATCATGGACGAGAACGGCTTTCCTGGGAAGCTGATCAGACTGATCAAAGCAACGATGGACGGTGTGGAAAACTGTGTAAGGATTTCGGGTGAACTATCCAGTTCATTCGAATCTCGCCGGGGACTGCGACAAGGTGACGGACTCTC